GGCTGGGGATTCGAACCCGCCACCTTAGGTGTACGTGGCTGGCACCTTAGCCGGTTGAGCTATAGGCGCCAAGCCGGGTCTTACTTTCTAAGAGTAACGCCACTGTTTAATGTAAGGATGTCTTGTCTTTCCAATTACAGGGCACTTGTCTCCTACCGAAACAGACGGTGACATGCTGGGCTATGATTTATACAGCAGCGCCCTGGCGGACATTCTCAGCGAGCCCACCATGCAGCCGCCCATCTGTGTGGGGTTGTACGCACAGTGGGGAAGTGGGAAATCTTTCTTACTCAAGAAACTAGAAGGTAAAGACTGTATATAACAAAGTGTTCTCTGGGACTTTCTCTGAAGTGAAGAAAAAGGCAGCGCTTTTTGTATGAGTGTGCGTGTTACATGCTTTACTGACGTGAACTTGTTATGGTTTTAGTGTCCTCTGGTTGAACCTCCACGTGGTCATTTGAGTTTTCTTTCTAAAAGAAACCTTTGAGTTTCTAGGCCCCCACAAACTTATGCATTCACACAGCACCACCTCTGGCGGGCAACTCAACTGTTAGTGTTAAGTCAGTCACTTTCCATTTTTCATATACGTTTTGTATCTTTTTTTTTGAGACAGAGCCTCAAGCTGTCCTCCTGGGTAGAGTGCCATGACATCACAGCTCACAGCAACCTCTAACTCCTGGGCTCAAGCGAGTCTCCTGCCTCCGCCTCCCAAGTAGCTGGGACCACAGGCGCCTGCCACAATGCCCAGCTATTTTTTTGGTTGCAGCCGTCATTGTTGTTTGGTGGGCCCTTGGCTGGATTTGAACCCACCACCTTAGGTGTATGTGGCTGGCACCTTAGCCACTTGAGCCACAGGCGCCGAGCCTACCTTTCGTATCTTATGGGAGGTGAACTGATGTCTTGGAGAAGTAATTAGGAAACAGCACACCCCTTTTTGCTTGGCAGAATCTTACTCAATTTTCAGGGACAATTTTCAGTACTGCTTGTAAAATTTCCCCATGTTTTTACACAAAGAATGACTTGCTGAGGTGGGCTCATTCGGGCTCACTACACACGTTTAATAGCTGTATTCTCGGAAGTGATTGGAGGGAGAAGAGGTGAGGGAGAGAAGAGGAATGGTGGAGAGATGTAGTTTGAAGACAGAGTATTGTTTTCATTTTTGCATATGGAATCAATACCTTGTTCTCTGTGTAATAAAAACCACACACACAAAAAATCGGAATCTTGACAGAGGGGAGAACATGAAAGAATAGGAAAAGGGATTTTGTGCATCCTCGTGTGAAGCAGGGGACTGGTTAATACAGGGGGAGCTGTGCCCTGGGGAACGAGATGCTTATATTTGGCAGGAGAACAGGGGTTAAGATGGTAAGTAAGTAGCAGTGTTGTATCTGGGGACCTGGTAAGGGCCCAATAAATGTTTATGTTGAAAATGTGAACACTGCAAATTGAGTTAAAAGTTGTATTTCTTGCATAAAGTAGAAATGAGGTTTCCGTATTAATTTCTCTTTCAGATGAAATGAAGACTTTTGCGGGGCAGCAGATTGAACCTCTTTTCCAGTTTTCGTGGCTCATTGTATTTCTCACCCTGCTGCTTTGCGGAGGGTTTGGCTTGCTGTTTGCTTTCACGGTCGACCCGAATCTCGGCATCGCAGTGTCTCTGAGCTTCTTGGCTCTCTTATATATATTCTTTAGTAAGTCTTTGCTTTTTGTCTTTTTTAAAAAATGGAGAAAATATCAAGACCCATTTAACTAAAACGTTATTTATATCTGTCCCTGAAAACCTGTGTGTGATTTTATAAGTGGGTGAGAAAATTGATCTTTCTGTTATTTTATGAATTGGCCTCGAGGAACATTGTCCATGACTTGGCTGGAGTAGCATCTAAACCAGTGTACTAGTAAATATTGAAGCTAGGCTCTGATTTATTATACTTACCCTTTCATATGTTAATGTTTTTACATTTCAGATTACTATGAGTGAAAATTTAAGTTACACAGTTTGTGTTTTTTAGGTAGCCTTTTATATGTTAATGATTTAAATTTAAATCTTTCTGGAAAAGAAGGCTCCACAGTCACTGGCAGGCTCTTGAGCATTTTGACCAAGACTGTAATTTTTATTTTATGTTAACAGCAAAGTAAAAAGATATAATCCCTGTTCTTGAGGGTGTCTTCAGTTGCAAGAATAGAAATAGATCTCCTGTTAGAGGAACTGGTGGCTTCACCAGTGGCAAATACTGACAAACCCAAGTCATTTGCATTTGGATCCGAACTGCAGATGTGTTTCTGTTTAAGGCAGTGTATTTCTGGTTACGTTTCTTCGGTTAGTGTTAAGTCAGTTTACTTTCCAGGCTTCATATGCCTCTTGTATCTTATGGGAGGTTACTGAAGTCTTGGAGAAGTGGTTAGGAAGTAGTATGGGGACCACAAAAAGTAATGTAAGTTTGGAGAAAAGAAACTGTTTGGCTAATGACTGTTTGGGATCTTTTCCACAACTGTGAATTTCAGTTGTCATTTACTTTGGTGGACGAAGGGAAGGAGAGAGTTGGAATTGGGCCTGGGTCCTCAGCACTAGACTGGCAAGACATATTGGATATCTGGAACTGCTCCTGAAGCTGATGTTCGTGAACCCGCCTGAACTGCCGGAGCAAACGACTAAAGCCTTACCTGTGAGGTGGGTTGGTTCCTTTGGCAGAAGTAACCTTTAATAAGAGTCAGCAAAACATTGTTTTCACTTCAGAAGTTTGTAATTCATCATTTCTTAATGTAGGTTGCAAAAAACATTGCTCCCTGGAACCTTTTCTGTGAAAAAAAAGCAAATAAAAAACACGTGCTGGTTAAACACATTTGGGAAATAGCTCATATCTGCCTCTTGTTATTAAAGGATCAGAGACCCCTTTCCATAAAGAAACCTGTTTAACTTCTATTTGTCAAATTTTAATGAGCATAAGCTAGCCCCCCCTTATGTTGCCATGGTTTGGACTGGATCGAGGGTGGAGCTCCAGGTTGGAGACCTGGCCCTTCCTTATGTAAGAGGTAGCTGAGCTGCTCTTTCATCAGCTCTGGAAATATTTTTGTGTATCAAAGAGTATTACTCATATTAAACAGTAAACCTTTGAGAAAGCAGAAAAGGTGATAAACATTTAAATTGAGGAGTAAAGGAAAAGTGGAGGGCCTAGGGGAAAGTGAAATGAAAGTAATACAAGGAAAAGAAGTTTGATAGAGGGTAGCAAAAAATTAAAAATGCAAAAAGATGAAGAATTTATAAATTAGGAGATAAAATGTGTCATTTAAGATGAAAATAGTCCAAACTAGATAAAATATCAAAACTGAATATGAGAGAAACAATATGTTTTTGAAAGTTAGAATAATTAAAATAGCATCATTCAAGGTCACACAATATGGTGCATGTGGTACCAGATTGTAGGCTTTTTTTTTTTTTTTTTTT